CGTTTGCATTACATTAATTAGCTGCCATTGCGTCATATAATAGCGATACATTGTAACGTTAGTGCTTCCGCGTCTGGATAGGATGAGAAACAATAAAGTATGTGAGAGGAGTTGGAGTTAGAAGCTATTTATGGTAGCACCATTATCTCTCTAAAATAGAGTAATAGAGCTCGAGAATTATTATCTTCTTTCTATTATTTTAAATTGCGTTACGTATAATTTTCAGAGAGGGGAGACAAAAATCTTCCCTTGTGTATCAGGAAATATTCCTTATGCGGAAAAATAACATTGGAATTTTCTCAACGATCGACGCGAACCACAAACAATTCAGCAGTGTGGTTACGGGGTTAATGGACCCCGACTCTGTGAATCCCATCAACTGATCTTTTCTTTTCCAACCGTGTCTCGTGCACACTCTTACTTAAACGTACGAATTACGCGATTCATCTTTTATTCTTGCAAGTTTATATATAAATAAATATACAAAACGAATTATAGAAAATAATATTTTTCATCTAATTTTAAATGAATGTTGGAGCACACATAATATATTTTATCGATCTTGGGAAGATAATGTTTTTTAATAATGTGTGCTGATCTTACCATCTTCGCTGTCATTTAATGTAATTTTTATTATTTTCTTGCAAAGTATCGCATTATTTGTTATTATCTAACGCATCAGGTGAAAAGGTTAACGATGTTTTAATGATATATTATTAGACTCCCTCTTTCTAGATATCAATTAAATTTTCTCAGTACGAGAAGTGCAATGCAAACATAATATTAACATATTCAACATATATTTAAGCATTATTGCCTAATATTATTTACTAGTAATTATCTCTCAATTCTTACATCTTATCTCTTAGGTTTAATTTCAATTGATTCTATTAAATTACAAATTGTGTAATTTGTAATTTATTGCGATGTAAAATATATTGCTTTGTAAATAAATATATTGTTTGACCAGAATATGTTAAGTGCATTAAAGATCTATAAAAATAAAAAAATTGCGTACAAGAGGAGACGCGTTTCAAAGAGGAAAATTATGTAGGTGAAGACATGTATAATGAAGACATATTACTGAGGTTCGTTTGCTCTCATGCATAGAAATGTTCTTTCGCAAGAGATTTTGCAAGCAGACTCGATAACAACCAAATCTGTGGCATCCGTTTGCTGCGATCATATTTGAATAAGCTTGAGACGCTTCTCTCTCTCTCTCTCTCTCTCTCTCTCTCTCTCGTCTTTCATCAGAAAATTATGATCTTCTCTGAATATATGGTCTCGGTTGAAGTATCGGAACAATCCCGAGAACGAGACGTTGATGTAAGATCACCAGGTGACGAGAGTTCGAGAATGATGTAATGGCGACAAGTTTTGTAACGTCAACAAAAAAAGGGAATACTCATTGAGATCACTCGATGATTGTTGAGTATGTTAATGTTATGTCCGCATCCACTTCTCGTATTGAGAAAATTGAATTGACATCTAAAAAAGAGAGGGGTCTAATAATATATCATTAAGACATCGTTAACCCTTTCATCTGTTGCGTACATATCCTATAACAAAAGTACATTGATGATTATGTTCCTCTAACATAAGTAATATTTATAAAAATATATAAAAAATAAATACAATTATAATCTGCTAAAGAAACTAAGAAAGGATTAAATTAACATATAGCAGATATTTTTTTAAATTGCGATATAAATTAGATATTTATTTTCTCAACTATCGATATAATTTTTTTCTAATATATAATATAAATATATATTAATTCTATATAATAAAAGAGAAAACTGTTCCAATCTAAACATTTTAAAAGTGAAATGGAGTGAAAACAATACAACAAAATCTTTAAGGCTAATTTAATATAAGACAAGATATGACAGTTAAGTGAAAAAAGATATCAACAATTTTATCCTCAATTTATTCGACGCATAAATTTATTCGTTGTTTCACTTTGTACCCTTTCTTCGGTCTCATTCATTAGAATTGGTCATTAAATGCACGATGTTTTATCTCGCTAATATAATACATATCGCCGCTCTCATAACCCATCAACCTCTATTCTAGCGATGAGCTATCAACTTTCGATCTGAACACTCCATTTCACGTGGTATACATTTAGCAGGTATCACATCGCGCTATCATATCCCATGGCACGATATGTTATTACGTTGTAATAACACTTACGCTTCCATCCTAATTGGTAGCTATGCGCGAAGGAAATGATTGTCAAAGAATCATTCTATTGTGGAAAAATAAACGATGAATGCGTGTGGCGACACAATGTTCTTTCTTATCTAATTTTTTTCTTACACCAAATCGTGAACTCGGAGATTCGGTTGCATTGTTCGAATATACGTCAAAGTCTTTACGTTCTTAATTTTTCACAGCTGGAACGAGTTATTCTCATGCTCGTTGTTAGTGTTATAGATTCAGCGGTATGAATATTCATGATTATTATCATGCGAAAATGTCACACACACACATATGTATAGACTGTCGAGTTGAACAAGCTCATTGTTTCTAAAAAAAGGAGGAGTGTATTTTATAGCTGCCAGTCTTTGATGTACGATGACTGATGAATATGGATGTTGCAGTGACTAAATCAGATATTTAGCAAATTCGTGACTCTACTCGTCGTGTATTGTGTACTTAGATACACAAGTTTGTCAAACTAGATAATCGCTAATAAATAATTCAACGATGAATAATCTTTCTCTTAATATTCTCTTCACATAAATTTTTATGTGACTTGATGATCTAATTACTTTCTATCAATAATTATTTGAAAATTTATTTTCTCTTGTAGTTAAGTCGTTTTCATCATGAATTAAACAAATATCATCTACAATTTTTATAAGGATCGTTCATTATAATTTCACTGAAACATCATTAAATCATTATAATATAGTTTAATTTTATACTGCAGTTAAATACTAATCATGTCTTCTAATATTATTTAATCTGAACGTTGATGTGAAAGCTTTGTTCTTTGAATAATTTCTTATTCATCAGCTTGTGTGAAAATTTGGGTTACAATTAAATTAAGAGATCGCAAGAAAACAACTTGTCTTTCTTTGTTAACTTTTACAATTGTGCAAAGAATATTGTTTTCCGAACTAAAGATAATGGCAATAAATCGGAACGATGATTTGGAAGATCATAGAATCGCTTTTACTTGGTCGCTTTATAAATGCGTTTTGCAACAACTTTGTCGTGTCGTTTGATTTTCTAGAAAGTGGTTCGCTTCGCGTTTGTCCTGGCGATGGATGACAGTCATTAGTAAAACCATCACGAAGCGCTGACGTTTACGTGTCGCGCGAAATCAATCCGGAAGTCATAATTCGATTCGCCGTTTACTTTAATCGAATCGAGCTAGAACATTGATTAATCGTGATGTAGACGACGATTATGAGACGATTGTTTCACAAGAGAAAACGGAATTTCTAATAGTTAATATAACAATTATTTTTTCCAGTAATTGATTAACAAAAGCACTTTAATAATACAAATTAAATGCAATGTGTGAAAAAAAGATATTTTAAATATCGCATAATAATTTTCTCCTCCCATATTTTGTGAAATACTTTTTGTATCATGCAAAAAGTTGGGCATCACTGTATAACAATGATATATAAAAAGAACTCTTATTTGAATAACAGTTCTTTAATGTTGTATATTAATTTTAAAGAAAATTACAAAAATACAACCAGAACTAATGAATTTCATTAAAAAAAAGAATAGATTTTCCCCTAAAAATATTTCGAAAAATGTATTTTAATTTCAAATTTTTAATGCCATTTAATTATAAGTTTTATCTTTTTTTTTAGCATAATTCATGAGATATTATATATTCAACACGATTGAGAAAGCTTTGAAAGGCTAATATTAAATTAGCAAAAATTGTGTCAAAAATTTTAATGATTATAGGATTGCGTTACGCAAATTCAGCACACATGCGGGCATCATAAAAGCCTTGTAACCCCGTAACCTCGAACTGTTGGACACATATTCAACAGCGTTGGCAAATGTTCAGCGTTCCCATTTCCCTAAAGAATTGCCGACTTTCTTACGAATTCCATGATACTACTATTCTGGTCTATGACACGCTGTTTGGTTGTCTTTGTCAAGTGCTCTGAATTTACGTAATAACTATTTGCATAAAGACATGAATATGGTATAAAACTACCATTGTCAGAACTTTCTAATAAGTTTGCATGTATACTGCTATACTTTCATTATATTTTCTAATAAACAGAATTAAATCGTAAATAATGGAAATAATTTCCTGAAATAGTTTGTCAACGGCATAAAATCATTTAAATCCTAGATATATTTCACGCATTAATCGATACATAGAATAATATTAATAAATAATTAGTTTATTGTTATATTAATTATCAAACATTAATTTGTATTCTTCTCAACACTAGGCAATTTTTATTATATTTTCTAATAAATAAAACTAAATTATAAACGAAGGATATAAAAGTATCATTTTCATGATACATCGAAAGCGCGTAATTTTCCCATTTTCCAGAATGATTGCAATAGTAATCGCCATGGTTCTCGTTTGTGTTGCTTCAATTATGCATGTTACATCGCGAATGTTTCGTGTGTATTACACGAAATTGCGGCATTATGCTGATTAACGATCAATGCTTGCCTAGAATTAGAAATGACGGATTTCAAGTTTCAAGGGCTCATACTTAGAGATTCTATATAGTGTGTTATAATATTTAGTTAAATTGCGAAAACATTTTTGCATTGATGCAAATATTTCACAAAGTTTAATAAGTACAATATTTTATGAAATAAATAGTTATGTATTTACAGAATACGATTTAGAAACTTCTTTTGGCACTAATTGTAAGAACTCTAAATGATTTATTTATACATAAGTTTGTCAATAAATTGTCTAAAGATTCGATCGATGATGATATGTATTGCGAAATTGGTTTATAAACGACCGTTCTCCTTCTCTTTTCAAGGTCCAGGAGTATGAGGGCCGTCTGCTTGCTCCTCGTCGGCATCGTCGCCGTGAATGCCCAGCGCCGTTTAGCCTTGCCCGATCCGCGAAGCTGCGCGAATCGTAAGTATTTCCAGTGACATTTCGTAACCTTTTCCGTTCTTAGTTAACGGTTGCATGACTAATTAGATGGAAAGTAACCGGGGAACCGGATTTAGAAAAGAGAGAAAAAGAGAGAAGGGGAAAGAGACGAAAAGAGGAGTGCGCTTCATTCATTAGAATGCATTCGTTATGTCGTAACTCGCGGCGGCATCGTGTAAATTAATTCGCGTTAAGTCGTTGAACGATTGCAGTACATGGGACGCGCTCCATTTATCTTTCGTAACGTACGATTTTATAATACAAAATCACTTAGCAATCGTTTTAAATTCTGAGATATTTGCATGAAAAAACGCGAGCAGTATTTTTACAAGCCTATCCATATTTCTCTGAGCTGTAATAAATTTCTATGAGTTGATAAACATGTCTAATGAAGCTGTCATTAATCGATTAACTGATTAAATATGATCACAATTAACAATATTATTGATGATGCATTAACACGTGTCCATTCTTCAGGTGTCCGTCATTCGTCGTACCGAGATGGCCGAGGGGTCGCTCACTCATATTTCTTCAGCTGGGAACATCAGCCGACCAGAAGTCTCGAGGTAGATTGGCTGGACGCTCGCAACATTTGCCGTCGTCATTGCATGGACGCCGTGTCTCTGGAGACCCCTCAGGAGAACGAATTCATCAAGCAGAGACTAGCGAGAGGTGAGCTACCGCGATGACAAACTCGAGATTTTTATTGCTTCTTTGCCAGTCTATATATATATGTCTTATAAAAATTCATGATCTTATATAATCTGTTGCGAATAATTCAAGAGAGGCTAATTCGTGAATGGCTGATCGTTGATTTCGACAATCGAAGAATTGATAAGTGGTAGATTTAAATCGTTGATTATTCAAGTGAGGCAATGTAGCCGGTAGCCAATCATCATCGCATCAACCTTTTGACAGATCCTCTCTGATGACTCTCGATGCTTTTTTAATAAAAATATCGAAGCATGAAGAGTTATCAAAGAGTTATCGTAAGTGGAAATGTATGACCTTTCGCAAATTCGTGAAAATGAATGATAATCCGCCATTCACGCACATAACTTAATCCATTAAGGTCATATCATAGAAAAAATTTTTATCGTGACTTTTTTTTATTTGTAATTATATTCGTGTGCCGAATTCTTATTACATAATAATTGTAAAATTGTAAAAATATTGTCGTAAATAGTCTTATGACATCAAGAAATTAAATGCAGAAATTAAATTCATTTTGTCGGCAATTTGTTAAGTATTCTTTCAATTAGAGATTGAAAATAATACGCGATTATTCTTAACTGTGTGAAGAGTGCTTATTAGTGTAAAAAATAATTATCTGATTAATTCTTTTATATATATTTATGAAGATGAGCCTCATAATCAGATAGTCGATAAGTTATAAAGCATAAGAATGTATTAATTGATCATGATCGATCTTATCGAAGAGTTTGTAACATAAAGTATGTCAATGTCACATTAATGAAACATTCTCGCAGTTTCCGTGTGAAAGTACATACTATTAATTACGTAATTCTTTTTAATGCTTCAACTTCTTGTTTGCAAAACGAAAATTATCATACATAATTCATGTAAAGTTGATCAGTTCGCAAAATGCGCGTTTATAATCGTGAAGTATAATTATCATATAATCTTGGAAATTCCCGGACTTCGCTAGCTGCACATTTATAATTTTTTCAGGATCCGTATTAAAAACTCGAAAGACGCGAATCGTTTTCAAATCTCATTAACGTTCATTTCGCGCTTCTTTGTCCGCGGGGAAATTTTCACGCTGCAATCTCGTCGAGCCCACGAATACAATAAAATAGGCTCTCGAGCGCGTGAGAAGTAAAAGCAGAATCTTCTTCGGTCAATTTGCGGGCACAAATTATTGCACAATGTCGCTGCCTGCGCGATTAGACTTCGCGAAGTAAAGGGGTAGCGAAGGCGAACGAGATTAGGTGGCGCATCCGCAGATTCGGTGGCGCAACGCTTCGTGCCTTGGTTCGTCATTTCTCTTCGTCATTTCTCTACGACCCCGTTTGAACCTGCTCGGCGAGGAATTTCAGTTGCAATTTAGACTCGCGGGTGACTAGATGCTCGCGTGTGTACCCCTATACTCGGCTAAGCGGGTCACTTTCACTTGACCGTTGATGCCCCGTACAGAAAAAGGAGCCGACGTGAAAGGGACTTTATGTAGGTACTTGTGGTTCAACGATTTGTCTTCCGAGCCTGGATTCTCATTAGAAAATCGTTGATGATAACAAAGTGTTTGTTGCTTCTAAAACGACTATTACACCGATCAACTTTGATTAAGCGATTAATGTTGAAACATAGAATGTAGATTTTAATGATAATTTAAAATATAAGTCGGTCTAATAAATAATATAATTTAATTGATTATTTTAAAGCAAAATTTGTATTTTCTTTAGAAGATATAATATTTTGCGTGACAAATTCCATCAACATTGCTAATTCTTTTGTTACTTTTTGCATTTATTACTTTAAAAATTTCATGGCTTTTTTTTGTTTAATAATTTATGTATATGTCTATTCTCCCGTGTAATAACCCTATAATAATAGAAGTTTTCGCCAAGGTTTCACACGCACGTTTTCACTTAATATATCATCCTACACACTTTCTTTTCTCTTGAACTTTCAAGTAACAAATTCTAATTAATTTCCCGTTTAAACTGATCATTATATTTTATACATCCATATAAATTTTAATTTCTTTTCCAAGTATCTTCGAGTTGTCAATGTTTATCAATCAAAATGTTGATTAATCAAGACTGTATACATCAATCATGCAAATCCTTAAAAAAAATTTAATTGCACAACACTAAAAAAAAAAATTTCTTTATATTATAAATAATAAAATTATCTCAAAAAGAAAAAAAGAATAAATTAATAATTTCCAGGAAACTAATACAGATTATTAATTAAACCATAATTAATGAGCAAGTATCGTGCTATGAAATAAACCTAGTCGAATTCCGTATGCCGCAGAAAACCGCAGATTGAAAATATAATGAGGCAGATAAAATAAGGAAATGTCGGGCGAAATTTAATTTGAGGCATTTGACAGGTCGATGAACGGCGGCGGGATCGATGCTTTAGAAGAGTTTAATAATACGGTGCAATTTATTTTAATTAATTCGCGTAAAACTCTGCGAGATTAAATGCGCAGACTTCAAAAAGCAATCTAGATTTTCCGAATTTATATAAATTTCTCTTTATGTAAATAATTCAGTCAGAAAATATGTTTATCTCGAGTCCAAAGCATGCTCGGTGCGTATGTAAATTCGTAAAATTTCAGCAGAATTATTTAAAAAATGTTTCGTATAAAATTAAATGTGTGTGTGTGTGTGTGGATAAAATATGGCCTTCATTGCAAGGCAATTATATAGTACGTATTATTATACGATAGAGACATATGCCAATTAGTAATTTCCTTTAATCATAAATCGAGTTGCAACTCGAATATATGACGTTTTATACGAGGTTGTTTAAGTTATTGCTCAGACAATAAGATACTATTTGATTAAAATATGCGGTATTATTAAGAAAATAATGGTTATTCATCTGTGCTTCCTTGATCCTCATTTAACGTTTATGAATACCTATCATTATATTTTGGATAATTTTATATCTAGTAAAAGAAGTTTCTATTGCGGTCACAAGTGATGCGGATGTCCGGGTGAAAATAAACAATGTATTGAGAGTTACAGAGATTGAAAAGTCGTCAACGTTATAATTTATAGCTTAGATCATGTTGTTGATTCAGACAATAAGAAATTTAATTATTTCCTTCCATGGATTTATATAAAAAATTCGCGTTTTCTTGAAATTTTTTTTTAGCAAATATTTCGTCACTTTGGTCTTATTAATTGCATGAAATTATAAACTTTTAAATTTGTGTTACACATTGATACTGTCGTTTAATTAGGAAACGTGAGATACATTTGGACATCGGGCCGTAAGTGCAACTTCAACGGCTGCGACCGAGCAGATCTTCAGCCCCAGAACGTTAACGGATGGTTCTGGTCCGGATCTGGCGCCAAGATCGGGCCGACAAGCCAGCGTAACTCCGGAGACTGGAGCAACACCGGAGGATACGGTCAACCACAACCAGACAACCGCGAAGCTGCACAGGTACTACATTTTTTTCACCTTTAAAGTTCTTATGTTTTTAATATTTGGATAGTTACATCATATATAATACCAAATAATTTATATGTAAACGAGGACTTTCATATGTTATTTTGCAAATAGATTGTTTAAATAAATTATAAATTTAGATAAAGAAGGAATTATAATTGTGACTTTGCCAAGCGGGGTAATCGGCTTTAACACACTTTCTCAGCGCACGTTTGGCGCTGACCTCGTGAAACTTTGATTTATATTCTTGTAGGATAGAGAGAGTGAAAGTACTTTGGCATCTTCGGATTTATTGCTCTCATATGTGACCTTTAATATATTTTTGTCAGTGTCTCGCTCTCTCAACTTTCCTGTAAATTAGATGTAGAAACTGTATATATTTGATCTTTCAACATTTCATAGAGAATTTTTAAAAAATTGAAATTCATGTATTTTTTTAAATATTTGATATATTTACGATATTAAAAGACTTTTTTTAAGGATATTGTGTAAAAGTAGAAAATATATTAGTTTTTATTAAATAGATTGGTCTATTTTATATAAAATTTATTTCATTCATGAATCAAAAATTAAAACATGGAAAATTAAATTTCCCATCAATTAAATAAAAACATCTCGTTCTGTGATTCGGAAATTAAAAATACTATACTTTGATTAAAAGATAGAAAATTGAACAATGTATGTATTCTTGAGTTCACTATTTCTTTTAATTAGATGTAATATATATCCAACTTTTTAAGAATAAAAATTCAATTTCGCCAATTCAATTTCGTGCCTTTTTTCCGAAGACAGCTTGACATTTATTATAATAATTTCGCTTATTTACAGGGTAACGACGAGTCTTGTCTGTCCATCTTGAACAACTTTTACAACGACGGTATCAAGTGGCACGACGTGGCGTGTCACCACGTCAAGCCTTTCGTGTGCGAGGATAGCGATGAGCTTCTTAACTTCGTCGCGTCTCGGAACCCAGGTATCCGTTTGTGAAAGGCGACTGCGGCGATCTCTGGCAAGCAAGCTATCGTCGTACATTGAAGAATTGCGAGGATAAACCAGGACAAAGGCGACGATATTTCAGACGTACCGTGTACTCTTTCTCTCTCTCTCTCTCTTTCTTTCGTCGTATTTTTATTTATAATTACACTAACCAATACTCTCTTTAATACAAATCGCGATTGTAGTAGTACGGCGAAATTTTCACCGTAAGCGAAACGATTGGTAGATCGAAGTAGGCCGTAAATGCATTTAGTATTATATATACATAATTCTTGTAATTTTTATATTCATTTCGTACGAGAATAAATGCATTTTTATTTGTATTTAAGATTCATTGCTTCTTCCCTGTACTCATATATTTCTTTTTTCTCTGCTTTTTATATTTTATAATAAAGATATTTTTTACAAGTTAGAATTTACTCAAAACATTGTTTTCAGTATGTATGCAATAAATTAACAAAAGAATACATGTAATTATAGTTTATTAGTATTAATTTACTGAATATAAAAATTATTCGTTTTATACAGTTTATATATATTATATAATGTAATTTTCAAGTCGTATATTTTATATAATTTGGTTTTTAAATGTTGTCTCATTTCGCACACCGTGCGCGCGAAAGAAATTAAATAAAATGGTCAATATATTCAAGAATGGAATTTATTGGATCAGTAACACAAGTACCTGTCAAAGAACATCATATTTGACCTCTACTTAGCGGTAGAGATAACAGAGAGAAGCGCGAACACTATTCCCACCGTGCCGCCGCCGTCATCTCTTAGACTTGCAAACCACACATTTGATTGGCTGCGTTCAGCAGAGAAAGCACTCATTGTCAGTTATCGTCTTATCAACACTCGTTGATTGGTTCTAGAAGTAAAAATCTGAGTAGTTCAATCAATTTCTTAAATTATATCTATATATTACGTTGCTGTTGCTGCGCGCAACTTGTCGCGAAACACTACCATGTCTCTTGATGTTTTTCAAAAGAGTGGCTTTATGGAGGTAAGTAGTAACAGAAACCTTTCTCCTAATTTTAATTTTATATTTTGAAATATATATTACCACATCGTTATCTCGTTTAACTATGTATTAAGATTCGGCGTTTTTCATTAATGAAATCTCTCATCATTCTGAGGTCTTCATTCCCATTTTGATTCACTCTATTCTGAAATATATCATAATTATTATTATAATTATTATCGATATTTGTTTTGGATGAAAGAGAAATAATTCTCTCAGAATTTCTATTTCTCTCTTAAGCCTTTCTTGATGAACACGTCACAATTTGTAGATGGGAAGATCTGATTGGTTCGAGAATTCGAAACTTCTTTTAATAGGAATATAATATCAAAATATAAACAAATTAAAAATAGCATTTACGAGCAGTCTTTAAGGTCGGATCTACAATAGGTGTAGTAAGTCTCAAGCCATAAGAAATTGATCAATCACAGTCAAATCTGAGGAGAATATCAATGAGGAGATAATCAATTGTTATTGGTAATTTTTTTACGGCTTGAGGCTTACTATACCTATTGTAGATTGTAGATCCGGGTTAACGTGCGTACCTTATTGTAATTAGTCAACAATTATTACTGTGAAAGCGAACGTTTTTCGGACCCTTTCTTTGGACCATCTTCAAGAATACAGTATTTTTCTCTTCTTTTACCTCTTCCGGAAAAAGGCATGACAGATTTCCTAACCTTCACAAGTGGCATCTTTGTTTAGGAGACGCTATCAGTGCTAACAGCATCGCTCTATCTTTATTACTTACCGAAAGTTGAACAAGGACAGAACGTAGTGCTAAAAGCATGCTTCTTGAACCTAGCCTTTAACGCTTAATAACTCTTTTTACACTATCAAGCAACAATTTTTACTTTTCAAATCTTTGCTTTTATGCAAAGACATCGATTAAATGCATTTATCAAAATTTAAATAGAACAGGTGAAACTAAACATTTACATCAAAGATTCTAGTCGCTTAAAAAATGCCTGTTATTGTCGAAAAATCTGCAACTGTGTATAATCAAAAGGTAAGATAAAGTGTGACAGACACGCAATCAACATAGAAAAAAATAGAACAAAAAAAGAAACAAATCATATATTAGTGAAATGATTTAAACATAAAAAGACACTTGTGAATTTTTCAAACAGGATCATGAAACGTCACAAAGTTCCTTACTTCAGAATCATCGAGTACAAAAAGTAGTTGAATCTCTCAATCATGAAGGTAATATTCATGGATATTTAACAATTTAGAGCAATATAATATATCAATGAATAAAATCATCCATCTGTATGTTAAAAGTCTATATTGTATTTAGTTTCAGATATTATTCCTACTACAGTCATAGGAATTAAAGTAACGAGTATACAAAATCCACACATTATAAGAGTTTATGAAATTAAACAGTATGCAGACAAACTTGATAGAATTCAAAGAAAATTGTTGAGTTTCATGAAAACTGAAGATTTTTTGAAAGAGAAACATAATGTAGAAAATCCTAAAGTTGGTGATGTAAGTTTTATATCTAATATTGTATTTAAATTATAATTAATATAGCAATTAATATCACACAAATTAATTGCATTATATATACTTAATATAAAAAATCTTTTCTATTATATTTATTTGCAGACAGTTCTTATACAAAGTAGTCAATGTACGAGTGAGGTGGAGTTACCATCATTTGTTTGCCGAGGTTTAATAACGCACATTAAAAAAGAAAACGAGATATTATATTATATTCTTTTGGTGGATCATGGTACTGGCATAGAATTAACTAGGGATCAATTTTGTGTGGTGCCATATAACTTTATTCCTGAAGAATATTTAACAAAAACTATCGGTGTGTATAATATTTTGCCAATTCGCATGAAAAAGGATGTTTCAAGTGATTTCAATAATTCAAACTCTGCAGCAATGTAAGTTTTGTCATTTTTAATACTATTTCTTTAATAAAACGTTATTCAAAAATAGCTATTATTTAAAGTGTTGTACCAGAATGGAGCGAAGAAGCAATTCAATATGCCAAAGATTTGTTGCATGGATCTAAAGTCATATACTTTAACCATTTAATCACGGATGAGAAGAATGGAAGAGAATATGGGGAATTTTATATTACCTTTGATAATGTTGATATCATACCGTTAAGTGAAGCTTTAACTATTAATTATTATGCAATTTACATGAAAGAAGGTATATACATAGAGATATTATTGTAACATAATATTCCTATATGAAAGATTTATCCATTAAAATATATTTAATAACATTCATGTAATGTACAATGTTTCATAGTGTAATTATTATCTAGATTTATTACAACTTTTTGAAAACTATACTCATTCTAAGGAGAATATAAAAGATCACATTATACATATAAAGTTTTCACATAATAGAAGAAATAGAAATAATGCAATACAAATTGTTAATCATGCACAAAAAAATTATCCCCTTAGAGAATTATATCTAAGGTAAAAATATTTTTTTCAAAATTTATAGTGATTTATATTTCTTATATTTCTTACCATATTTTTTCTTTTTATCAGTGAGAAAGTTTTGATACAGAGCACAATAAACTGTGGGATTTTAAGTGATGTTAGAGATCTTGGATATCCTAAAGGAATACATGAGGTAATATATAAGTATATAATAATGTACTTGAGTGAAATTTAATAGTTGGTATGTAATTGATTAAGAGGATGTACTAAGAGAGAGAATACATGTATAAAATATAATAATCTTTTAATATCTTTATTTTAGGGTTGGAATGAATATATCAAATCTTCGAGACCAAGAAAGCTTCAGTCATATATATGGCCAGCTATAAATAATGGTTTAAATGTTGTAGCTATTGGATCATCGCAATGTGGTAAAACTAGTGGATGTGTAATGGCTGTTTGTGGTCTAGTAGCTATGCGTCAAAATGTAACAATTTTCTTTATTTATAATAGAGAATAATTGAGAATATTAGAGTTTAGCATTCTGAATTGTCTTATCAAGTCGCAACATAAGTGAAATATTAATTTATATTATCAATAATATCCACATAATCTTTGAAATTGATACATCACAATATTTTAGGAAGTATCATATAGCGCAACTCGTCCACTAGCATTAATTCTGTGCTCCTCGTCTCTTGACGTAATCAGTGTTCACTCAATGTGCATGTCATTCCTGCGTTCTTTTGACAATATAAATGCTGTACCAGCATTTAATGGCATGACGTTTATATCAGTGGCGGTAAATTTATTTATATACGCTTTCAGAAAATATTTAGTAAACATTTCATCAAGAAATGATACGTGAAAAGTAATCACTTTTGCTTTTTTTCAGGCATCCATTTATAAAGGATGTCAAATCCTAGTAGCTACACCGCGATATCTAGCTCGATTCTTGAACGAAAATAAAAATTTACTGTCATTTGACAATCTCTGTTATTTAGTTTTGGACAATGCTGATACAATTTTAAATAACTATTACGATTCGGTAAGAGAGAGAAAAGGAGTTGAATTATATTAATTTTTTTTTTAAATTATATTATTAGCATTATTTGAAAAATCTAATAAGAAATTTTAATAGATAGGAGAACTGTTTAAGAAACATAACATCATCAAAAATCGTGAAGCACAACATAATAAATTATTACAAATAATAATTACGGGAACAACATGGACACGTGACATGAAGAAATTTATTTTGTATGCAATGTATAATCCGTTTATATGCATAGCATCATTCCTAGAAGCCATTATCTTTAAATCTGTGCATCCACAACTATATATTTTGAAATCTATATATAAAAACCAAAAAATATCAGGTAAGAAAA